TTAGCTGGCTGAGGATGGTTATTGATTTTGCTGGTCAAGTGACACCTTGGGGAATTTGAACAGTCTTTTGGAAATAATCACCAATGCAAGTGGGTCCAATGAACCCGAGATTGAACCTGAGTTCTAAACTATTTGCTGCCAGAAATCAGCGAAGCTGAAATGCCAACAAACCTATCCTGAGGCCTCATCAGGGTAAGATTTAAGTATCGGAAGTGCATTGACTTTCAATGCCAAGTGAAAACAATTCTCATAATTTATCGAAATGAGGTTAGGAAATGGCTCACAGAGAGAAAGCTAAGAAGACTTATTTGCGATAAACCGATTTTCATTTGAGTAATGTTTAAGCAATCAATTGTTTCAATAAAGTGAATATTTTTTTAATACCCATGTTCTTGTAATAAACTTTGAAGTTTTCGTTGTTTGATTTATGGCTTATAAATTTTTTTTAATAGCATAGGCCATCCAACGATTATATTATAGTCAAAGTTATTGAATAAATATGCTCAGTTGACATTAAATTTTAATATGGCGGAAGCTATTAACGCTCAAGAAAATATTCTTAAATGTAATACGACTTGAGTAAACAAAGTCATCTACTCCACTTAAGATTTTCCTTACTTCTTTGTCACATTTTCCTCGATTCTTTTCACTGCATCTGCCAGTGGCAATTCTTGGTAGCGACAAATCCTTATAAATCGCTATGACACATCCAACTAACAGGAGACGTGCCAGATAAAACTCTTGTCAAAACTTGTTTTATGGGCTGGGCCCAAGGGTTCCGCAAAAGGCAGAAGTCATCAAGGACCTGCGGCCATCTTGGCAGCTTTAATAAAATTGATGTTGAACGGCCACAGTGGTCAGTAACGCAGTACCGCTGGGCAATGGGCAAATAATGTTGTTAACTCATTTTTAGCCAAGTAAGCGCCGCTCGGTCCCCATGGTCACATTTGAGGTCAGCTCGTTGGCCACTCAAGCACTTGATGGTCTTGTGGGCATTTTGTTTTGTCAACAGAGTGTAATTAAGCCCAACCACGCGTGTCATGCGCCTGGAATTATGCTTTAATTTGCATTAAAGCTCGGCAAGTGTAATTTCACCTCAAATTCGGGCCAAAAAGCAGTTCGCACATATGTTTATTTACTGGCTCGAGGGCTGGGCAAACACTCAAAGCCGGGTACCATAAACAAGCAGCTCAACTAAGCGCCAGTCCTTGGGTAAATTTATTCTCAAGCCGCTTAGTGCTGTAATTTTGCAAAACTGTCCAGAGCTCTCGACAAAGGGAAGTTAAATTGCTAAAAAAAACGGCAAAATGGTTAAAAGTAGTGGGGAAAATGAGGGAATCACACTTGCAGCTCAGTCAGTCGGTTAATGATGCTGCTTTGTGGCCACTAAGTGTTTAACCTTCCAGATTCAGAAACAGGTTCTGAACCCAGACGCAGACAAGGACATGTGTCCCATATTTCACATGCGTCAAGTCTCGCCTTTCCGCTCCCTGCACATGCTTAATTTTCCTTGGCAAATAAGCTTAAGACACGTTTTTACGCTAGATTAATGAGTTCTTGGAATCGACGCATCTTCGCAGAATAATATTTGCCAAAGCAAAGGAAATTGCGGTGGGTGCGAAAATTTCGCTTGCAGGCAAGAATTTTCAAAGCTTTAATGTGCATAAAATTAATGCAAGATTTAAAAACAAAATTTTAAATATAAACATTTTTGGAATAATGATAACAATTATTAACGTTAATTTTCGTTCTATTAAATCAGTTTCAAATAACACTTAAAATGAAGGACAACATATATGCTAAAATAAAATTCAAGCTATATTTTGTGTCCTAGCTAAAATTATATCCGGCTCGGCATTTTCTTTACACCCACCCACACTCCTCATGTAAAGGCCATTTTAGCCACTATTATTATATTGACAGCTGTTTGACTTTTATCAGCATGCAAACAGGCAGTGTTTTTCGTTTTTAAAATATTTGCTCTGTCACCCTAGAAAATGCCAATTAATTTTGGCCTTTGATGGCTACATTAGCCAGCCCACTAGGGCCGCCATTGTTGTAGCTAAAATGTGTTATATTAATATATGCGTTATAGCAAGCGACCACATGAGGTCCGGGCTAAAATTAGATGGAGTGGCACTGGGAAAATCTGATCGTGGGCGCCTTGAATTGGCGAAAGTCTCATTAGAGCATATGTAATTATGGAGTAATAAGCTGAGACGCGATGTGTGAAGGATAAGCCAAGGACCACTCGCAGCTGTAATATTTTCCTCCCATGCGCACGAATCTCCCTCAATGACCAAACAAAATGTGCGGCTGCATAATATGCTATCGTTTCCTCCGGCTAACAAACAAACATAAAATGGCGCAATGTTATCGATTCTTTCAGGGAAAGTCGCTTCCAGTCGGAAAATTCGTTCGATTCCGTTTATTTGCGTCGTCTAATGCCCCCAGATCCGATTTCTCGTTTATTGAACAGCACTGCGCAGTTGGCCATGGTCAACATCAACATCAGCATCAACACTGTGACATTGGAACAACCTCCCGGCTTCCAGCTCCCAGCTCCCAATGCAGTTGTAATTGGCATATCTGTGTCAAGCGGTCTAAATGTCCGAGTCTTCATCTTTAAGGTGAGACATCAACAAGGATGGCGAATTCAGTTAGCAACCTAAACATGATTTAATAGTGTTAGCAAGGGGTTTCATGGGATTTCAGCAATGGAAAAACCAATCACAATTGTGCCACGGATGACCGCCGGTCAGGCCAAATCCTCAACTAAGCCATTTGAATTGCAAATCATATGAGATCCCTTTATGCCTGGGGTCCAGCATCCACATACACATTCGGGACTCTCACGGCATTAGGGAAAATATTGCCAGTTCAGCGACCTTTTTATGCCAACATTTTGCCATCGCTTTTATCTCCTTTTTTTTGACTCCTTCTGTGTGACAGATTACCAAAAGCAACTCTCGTTTTGAAGTCCATCAGACCCATGTAAAATATTTCTTATTTATTTTTCATTTACTGCTAGTTGTCAAAGGCTTGTTAACAGGGGTATAAAGAAATAGAATCCAACAATAAATACTTTTGGGTCTTATTTTGGGTTAAGGTAAAATCATTGAAAAGGATTGATTTAATTATATGTTTTAACAAGGGATAGTATTTTAATATGATATACATGATTTTAATGTAAGTTTGCTAATCCCTCCTTCAGAAAGGCATAATTTGTAAACATTTTCCATTAGAAGTTGAGTCAACTGTTAAAAAGATGGTGTGATATATTTCGTTAAATAATGTAGTAAATTTTAATTTTACTAACAATCATTTACATTGGAAAACGATTCCAAATTAAAGAATTAGTATAATTTATATGTTTGTTATGTTTGGAAACTCAATAAACTCGTACATTCAAAAGTATTTTTCATAGCTCCAATGAATATAATATTTTTTATTGCCTGACCCAACTATGAAGAACATCAAATCCATAAGACTAAGCCACCATGAGATGATTGTAACATTGGTTTCTCAGGCAGGGAGACCAAATCCTTGACATCGCTCTTTGTCAAAGAGCATGCCATATGGTGTGGCGGCACCCAAAGCACAGCCTGCGTTCTTGTCTCCTCTTTTTTGTGGTCCTGGAAAGGACTCATTTAAATAAGCCCGAATTTATATCGCCCATATACGCACGCACACTCTTTGAGTGATTGGCGCGTTTTAACTTGGATGTTGGCTGCCTGGAAATTGGCTCGGTCGAGGGCTACTTCCGTTCCAACAATGGTGTGATTTATACGATGGGGCGTATGGAAATTTCATTACATTCATGGCGTGCATTTTATGGCAGCCGAAAGAGAAACGAACGGAAGTTTAGTTTAATCGAAGTTGTTGTCACGATCTGCTGGGCTCTCTGATTGATTGCCCTTCATTGATAAAGAATGTTCTTTCCCATCCCTTGCAGATATGCAAATCATATGCCCCAGCCAAAAAACTTTGCCTCTTCGTGGATTTTCTTAATTTCCAGCTGCCAAATGACATTTGGCGTTTTATTGTTTGTCGCTGCTGGTTGGCTGGATTGTCATCTTGAAATGAAGTTTGCTCAGCTCGCTGATTTTCCTTTGCGAAAAGGAAAAACAGTAGCAAATTGAAAATTGTTCCATCAAGCAACAAGCGTCGACAGCTGTGACTTTGTGACCCTTTCTTCTCAGCTATCCTTTGTTTGATTTCAGCAAGCAGCTACAAAAAATTCGGACTGCTGCTTTTGGCCAAAAAAAAGGTAGTTTTCAACTGTGAAAGAAATGCACTGAGGTAAGCGGTTTCTATAAGCGAGTGGATTTTTCATAGCATATTAAAATAGAAAATTATTTTTTATTGTTTAGCAATTTATTCAAAACATAAAGAATGTTCGAATGTTTTCTGCAGTGAGCCGATTTAAATGGAATTATAGATGCGTCTTTTAAACAAAACACAAAAACTGGATAAGTGGCCAATAGTCTTTCTGTTTTTCTCACACACCTCAAAATAGTAAATCAAATTAAAATTGTTTATTGTTGATTGTTTATTTCTTAGAAATGATATAACATTCATTTCAACTGGACTGCCATTTGTTAAAAAATCTGTTTTTCCTTTATTTATATATTTTTTCTATCTCTGGAAAAATTAATAAATACAAATTTATTTCATAATAAAATTAAATAAAAAACAAACAATTTTTTTTAATAATTTGCTGTCAAAGAAATAATTCTACTGAATAAATGATATTAACTCGAATTTAAATGGGTTGCGACCTAACTTCTAAACACGAATGATTTCTCTCCCCACAAACGTGGGTTGAATTTAAATACTTGAATATCATGTTCGGCATTAAAAATGTAAGGCAAAGTACCACTTATTGTGCCACTGTTCAAATGTTTAGAACTCGAAATCGCAATGTGCAGCTGGGTCTTGTGATTTCAATAAATAAATTAGTTTGTTTGTGAATATTCTCGTTGTTTTGCATCACCCACCTCATAAAAGTAGAACGAATTTAAATTGTCAAATTCGCCGGCGTCGCTGGATGTGGAGTTGCCGCCCGATTCTAAGTCGTGACTTGGCGCCGCTGTCGTCTGAACCATTGTGGCCGAAGTTGTCGTTGCTGCTATCGTTGTTGGCGCCAGCATCACGTGTGATATCGCAGGTGTGAAATATGTCAGATTAACTGCCGCCACGTCAGTGGGTGGCGAGGTGCCACCGTGACCGCCCACCGCCTCTGCGCTGCCATTGAACGACCTTTCCGTGGAGGAGACAACTGCCACCCCCGAGGATTCCGAGGCGGAGGCCAGCGTGTAGTAGAGGGAGCTATCGAATAGCCTTAAGTGTAGCATGATTGCGCCTCAGTCTGGCATCGTCTGAAATAGGTGGAAATTAACAGCAAAAATTAAAAGAGTGCTTAAAAGTGTATATATCTTAAAATATATGGCCTGAGCCCGGGGGCTCTGTGCGAATGCTTAAAAACTCATAAATCGCAAACGAAAAGCTGCGTAATAAATGCTTTAAGTACTTTGCCAGCAAAATGCAGAAATATTTGCTTCAGTTAACATGGCTTTTGTGTGTAAATTTCGGTACACAGCAGGTGCGGGATTGTTGGCCTGTTATTAATGTCGCGCATACGCCGGCGGTGACTTTGGGTTGGGACTTTGCTTAATGGCAAGCATCCTGATTCCTTCGAAATTAGTTATGGCTTTTAAGATTATACCAGCGGAATGATACTGTTAGAAATTATCATAACATTTATTACCGCTTCCCAGATGTAGAGATACTTTTGAGCACTCCATTAATGTCACAGACTTTTGCTTTTTGTATCTTCTAAAATGAAAGTTATAAACGTTTGTATATACAATTTTCACAAGGTAATTAAACAAAAAAAAAATTTTAATTATTATATAAGTTAATAATATTTACTATGGGTTAATTTCTATAACTTTAGTTAAATACTATCTCTGTCCTCATGGCTTGGATTAATTTATGACACCAAGCGCGTGTCAAGTGATGCTACGAACGTGTCCCTAATTGAACAGAAGAACGACGCACACGACTTGACCCTTTGGACAGGAACTCGAACAATTAGCAGCCAACAAAAGACATTTATACCCCAAACGGCCGTGTCACGTTGCCGGTGGCAAACAATGAACTTTGATGTGGCCTCTCGGAAATTTATGCATGCATATGTATGTGCCTGCGTCTGGGATACATCTGTCCATGTTCGTTGCTCTTTGGCTGCAACTTTAAATTGATTAACCGCAACTTTGCGGGCGGCCCTCGAACGACGTGCCCGAAATTCGCAAATAAATTCTCCTTTAAAATGCGAAAAACTTTTGTTCGCCGCAGCCAGGTATTTGGCCCACTAATGCGAGCACGCAACTATTTGGCCAATGATTTATATTGAAAACACCCGTCTGGGTCCCCTGTTTTCTCATCTGACACATTCAATTTGGTAGAGCACAGCTGCTCAGCGGGATAGTTGCCATTTTCCAGGGGATACGGTATTCGGAGTTGGGAAGGGGAGGAGGATGAGTGGCACCACATGTCGCCGTTTTGGAATTTTGTAAATTTATCATTAGCCATTGAGGGTGTTGTAATTTTTCAACAGATTTTTATTCAATTATTATGAGGTAAAATTGTTGTCCTAATTAAGACCAAAATCAACATTTCCATATTCAATTTCATCAAACAAATAGAATCGGAGTTGAGATAGTCAAAAATTTTATTCAATCGGGTCTAAATTGATGACAAATTATATAAGGCTTTTATAGTGAATATTTAAAATAAATAAAATATTTTTAACAATTTGCTAACCATTTAATCCGCTTATGTGTTCGTTTTATTAAAACCCATGCTTTTAGGAAAATATTCTTAGATTGTAAGTAAGGAATGTTATGCAAGTTGCTTCAAAGAACAATTAAAATGTGCAATCACGTTTTAAACTTGTTGATGGCCTGTGAAAAAGACCGTTAGCTCAGTCTTTTATATTTAATATTTACTTATGTAAATGCCGCAAGGAGCTTTGAAGTATTTTGACTAGCGAAACAACCCATTTGAGCTTTGCATAAGTTCGTTTCAGTATTAAAGTTCTTGGCTGCTGTTAATACTTATTTAATTTGCATGCAAAATAGCCAGAAAAGTGTCTAGTCGGTGGGACACCCCACTCTAGTTCTAAAACTGAATTCTTGGCATTATATTTGCCTGAGCCGTGGTGGTGAAGAAGAGACAGAAAGCTGAATTTGATTGACATATTTTGAGTAAGCTGTCGGTTGAACCAACACTTTTCTTGGCGCCCGAATCGACTTAAGATACTGCCATTGGCATCTTTTGTCAGAATCGGCGCTAAAGCCGTCGAGCTGCATTCAATTTGATTGAGAAAATCAGAGAAGCGTTCAAGAGGATTGCGAAATAACGACAGCAAGTTGATCAACAACGAAGCCGAATAAAAAAGTGAGCAGCTTAAAAAAAGTCATAACTGATTTTGATATTCTGAACATTTGAAATTAAATATTAACTAAATATTAAGATTAAAATTTTAAAGTAATATTATTATATTTTAATAATAATTTATAATTTTATCAATTATTTATATAACTGAAAAGAGTACAAAATTCTACAGGAAACAGTGTTGGGAGCAGAAAAATTGATTTGTTGGCAATCTTGTCCTTTTTGACCCAACTAAGGTCTTTCAGAAAAGGGATAGGTATTTCCTCATAGAATGGGCACACTATCATTTAAGTCTAAAGCTTAATTGACATTATTTGTCAAAGGGAAAATCAAGCGATTGGTGTCTTTTAAGCGTCTCAACTCTTTTTTCTATAAATTACTGCATAGTAATCATGAGTCAATCGCATCGCAAAGGACCTTTTTACACCCTGCCCAAGCTGATTCCCCAATTCCGACCCCAAGCCCCGAAACCAGAACTGCTTCCGGACGACGTGGTGAGCTACAAAATCGAGGCAACGCGTAAAAAACTGCTTAGCCTCCTGGGACGCTTTGAGAAGGTGGACTCTATAATCACGGAGTCCCGCCAGAGGCGAAATCCTTTCCACACCGTGGTTTCAATGGCGGTGGCCTACGAGGATATCGAGAGCCAGATGAAGGACGGAATCCAGGGATGGTCGAATAATGACTTCGAGAAGAGCTATGACTTACCCAGCACCAGCCTTTAAAAATGGAAGAACCGAAAATGGAACCGAATTGTTGTTTATATCTTTAATTTTTCATTAATCAACATGAGCTTTGAATTGTACATTCTTTAAGCCAATTAATATAAAACATCAACTGAAATATTAAACCAACAATTTTTTTATGTGGTACCTGAATGCCATTTATACCTTGAGAGTCATTTATACTTTATAGTTTTAGCACTTGGTTTATTAAAATATTAAAGGAAAGATTGATATACAGTATACAATTCTCAAAGTTTTGACAAACAAATTTAACCTATTTCAGATTTACAGCATGTTTGACTAATGCAGGACCTAATGTTTAATCTTTAAGGTCGCAAATTGAGTTTTGTGTTCAGATTGGGATCCTTCAGTTAAATGCTTTTTGTGACTAGCAAATCTCAGTTGCCAACTTGGCAAAGGACTTTCTTTTGTCTGCTGCACTTTGTTTTGGCGAACTCTGTGCATCGTTGCGTATGAGTCATAAAAGTCAAAACCATCTGGCTTTTGTTCTTTCCGAGCCACTTGCAGCATATTTATGTTATGTTGTTGTTCAGTTTTGGCCGGCATTATATAAACCATTACACTGTCTGCTCCGGAGTCACTTTCCACGTCCTCTATGACAATTGCCCAGCATATATTGTCCTGGGAGTGGAAAAATTGCGTCGTCATGCTGCCTCAAAATGAAAAATTGATTTCACAGCGAAAGTTATGGCAGCAACAAGAGGCAAGCGGCAAACTTTATTAGGTCAGTTCGCTCTGCCCAATGAAACAAGGTCCACCCCAAGTTTCCATCTTGGCCATTTTTTCCATTTTTCCGCCTTATGTTTATGGTTTGGACGAAGCACGCAGTACCATTCCTCGTATGCACTTGCAGTTCATGGCAATCAGCGTCATAACGACCAAAGTTTAGTGTTTCATTTCAATTTTATGGAGCATGACGCGTGCACAATGGATAATTGCCAGTGCGATTGAGTTGGCATTATTTTCATTATGCTTGTGCTTGATTCACATTCGATACTTTTATTACTCCAAAAGCAGACTAATTGACAATTTGAAAATCGTTGTCGTATCGCACCGTTCCGTTCAGACGGTGAAAATCCACTTTAGACGCCCCCGACTTTTAAATAGCCACTAAATTTAAATCTAAATGTCAGACATAGTCGCACGTCGTGCTGAAAAAGAGACCCCAAAACTCACGAAAATTCGAATTGGTAGCCGAAACTGGATATCAAGGCTCGTTTGGTTGCCTCAAAATATTTTCCACCCGTGTTTCGTTTTGTTTTCTCCAAATTGTAAATGGTCGGGGCGAGCAAATTGAAAAGTTACAGCCACCGGGAAAGTGGGAAATGTGTGTGTCTACCACTTGAAATGGTCCCCGTTGCCCTAAAATGCCGACTCGCCTTTTCAACGTGACTGCCTAAATACTGTGGCCCGTTAGCTTAAATTCGGGACAAAATCAAATTAACTGCTTAAAGAGTTGCCATTTTCTAACAATCTTTGCTCAAACAATATATTCTTTAATCAAATTTTACAGTTTTACAATTTTATTCCGAAATTTTATTGAAATATAAAGGTTATAATCATGGATAATTTGGTTTTCAAGATATACGGTTAACTTTTTATTATATAAGCTTTACATATTGAATGGCAATTGTTTTTATATTAGTTTTATTTGAGAAAATGTTCTCTTCCAATTCACTTTTTCTGTATTACATAATCAAGAACAATTTATTAACGTGCAAATAAGGCTTTCTCAATTAATTTGGAAACAATAATTAACAAAAATGTAATAGCTTCCTATAAATATACAAAATTAATTTTGTTTGTCTTTAAGGTTAAAATAAAGTCACCACAGTGCCACATGGCGGCGCCATTGAATGGCATTTTATTTTATTATTGCACACAGCATGCTCGCTGGCTGCTTGTGTATTTATATTCAAATTTGTAGCACCTGTAAAACAGTTTGCAAAACAATGAAGACGCCGCCAGCCGAAAGTGAGGGAATGTCAGCTGCTGCTCCGTCAACCTTTACCGTTTCTACCCCGATACGCCAGCCATTTGGCCTAAAAGTTAGACAAATGTATGTAAATGGAAAATGTGTTGGGCGAAATTGCGTCAAAACATTTGCCACACGAGATTAAGTTGCCTGGTTTGTGATGTGTTTAAAGTTTCAATGTTTTAGTTTAAAGTTTGACTTTCTTATCGGCCAGCCAGAGACCAGACATTATGAATGAGGTCGGGGTGCAGAACTTAAAGGGCGCGTGCTTAGCCAAAGTCTAAAGCCATAGACATGAGTTTGTTCTCGCCTGGCAATCAGACAAAAGAAAAGCAAAAAGAATTGAGTATACGACGTGTTGCCTTGACACCTGGCGTGGGCAGCTGAGCTCCATTTTGCTGCCTTCTATGTTTAAGCAGAGACCCGAGAGACAAAACAACACCCATTTATTATGAGGTTATACAATAATTTATAAATACTTTTAACCCCGTCTAACTGTCTGTCTGTCAAGTTTCCCGAATGTGCGAACACACTTAGGTGTTTGATTGATCTTTGGCAAGCAAAGTGGGAATGACAGGGCTCTGAAAAAAGATATCTACATTATGTGTTGGCATGTTTGCTGAAAGGGTTCCCTCTTTGCCTTTACCTATACTCTTTTGTCCAGCAAATGGTGTGAATAAAAACACGGTCATAAATCGGAGAAAATAATTAATTCGATTGAAATAAATACAGAGTGCTGAGTGACGTGTGTATTAAGTCAATTATAAATAAATTATGCTGCTTTAGCTCCTGCTGGTCCAAAAAAACCCGCTGATACCTGCGTAAAAGTAATCGCCAAAGTGGCTGCAGGGTGTTAATTAGCCGAGAAGGGGAAAAATGGGGAAGAAACTCAAGAACTCTGGTGGGAAATTATTATTATTTATGCGTATTCAAGGTATGCACTGCAAGTAATTGTTTCTCCCGGCGAATGAGTTGTGTGGGGCGTAATAATAAATTTCCATTTCGTTCGGCCCCCAAAGCCACTTTGCAGGGCTAACCTCAACGCTTTCGGTATTCGCAAATATTCAACAGTTAAATCACTTAGCTGATAGCTTCCACTAGTTAGCTAATGAAAACCAAATGCCGCGAACGCTTAACCACAGCCCTCCAGTGGCTGTCTCTCAGTCATCAGGCGTATATATAGAATAGATCATGAAGAGTGAGCTATACGCGCCGGGGGTATAAATTATGCAGGGCACATACATTGCTAACTGCTGAGAGAGCAACGCGTTCTGTGTTAAGTAGAATTTTGAACTTGACTTAATTAGACGCAAATGCAGAAAATAGAAAACGCCACAACCGCAACTCCCATGCGAATTCGAAAACGATGGCAGTGTTGCCAAGTCTGGGTTAGCAACCAGCTAAGAGAGCTACTAATTAATAATGAATTTATCATAGGGCTTGCAAGTGTTTTTGAATTGATTTTTATTACTTAATCTTCTACTTAACTTAAACTATATTAACAATGCTTTTCTAATATTCTAAGTTATTAGTTTGAGTTTTTAATCAAATGTTTAGTAATATATAAATTTACTAAGAAAACTTTGAATTTTGTTGTTCTAAATACAATTCCCTATAACAATTTAATTTCAATTGGCAAACAAATTTACCCTTGATATATCAAATTTTTGTTTTTATAAATCTGTTAGCTAAGTATAATAGGGGAACAATAAAGTTCGAATTGAGTTTCTATGGCCATGGCAAGCCTATTTGGTGGATTATCTATAAGTAGAAAAATAAATTTCAAATTCAAAAACTCGGTATTTATGACCACAGTAAGCTTCTTTAAAAGATATCTACAAGGATAAAAATACAAATTTTAAAACCTCCACCACAAACATACACATTTTGTGTTGAAGCCTGCCTGTTACACTCTAAGCCAAGTTCGCTGGCAGGAAAAAATGCAAATTCAAGTTTATAGTTTTCCCATCAAGTATCAGGACCAAACTGGCTACTTATAAAGAGAAGGACTTTGCTTTCGGGGACTGCCTGGAAAAGAGCCAAGTAAGCAGCTCCACTCGACAGTAAGTCCTGCGTTTGCGGCTTGACTGTGAATGCTGGGAGAAAAGCGCGTGTCATGGTGTCCTGAGCTAGATGCTTCGATGCCTATTGGCCCCAAAGGCCGACGGTCGTTAATTAATCAAAATACTGGAGCTGCTGTCAGCGGGATTCTCTCGCCCTCTTTTTTTTCGCCTGGTCAACGAACCTGCGCCTGGAAATCTGTCGCTTCGTGCAAATTTGCAAGCAATTAAAGTCACGCGAGAGTATTTAATTAAAAGCTGAATAATGCAGCAAGTGTTGCGGCCAGGAAGTGTCCAAAAGTCAGAGAGCAGCGGCTATGAAAAGCAATTACGAGTAAATAAAACTTGCAGCCAAACGTATTCAACGCAAATTGAAAATTTTTGCAAAGGGAAATCAAAGTGGGCACGAGGCCAGATGAGCAAATAAGTCAGCAGCAGACAAGTCAACGGGCGGGCCAAAGACTCTTCTTTTTCTTTTTTTCATTTTTTGGCCAACGAAGAAAGATTGACACCTACAACAGTGATTTCAATCAGCTGCCACACGTGGGCCACCGGGCTGCTCCCTGTAATTATTGGAGGGCCGCCTCGAGGGGTGCGGCCCAAAACACGCATTTTAATTTGACAGAACGAATGAACTTGCAAATCAGAAGGCGCCAAAACTTAAAGACAACACAGCGCTTTTTATGTTTGACTGCACAGTAAAAATTCTAGAGCTTCTGTGTTGTTATTCAATAGAATTTAATTTCGTAAATAATACTTGTAGGTATTTCTAGAAAATATTCATATTATAGTTCTAAAAGCAATTAGTTGATGGTTGTTCTAGGGCATTAATATTAATTTCTCTAAACATTTATAGTTTCTGTAACAAAAAATTATTCAACTTATAAATATAGTTGTTTAACCCATTTTCAAATGTATTTTAATGCTTCTTTTTAGGCAAAGTTCTTTATAGTTTAAAGCAATTTTTTTTTTTGCTTTTTAGAAATTACTGAAAGATGTAGTGCC